TTGAGAATGCAGAACTTAATTACCATTCCAATGAAAACTTAATGGTTATTTTTAGTATTTTAACTCACTTAGTGAACTACTTTGCTACCATGCTACCATGAAAGTGTGTGTTCGCAACCCCATCTACGCCTACGAAGGTACCAATAAACAATAGATACCAAAAATATATTTGAGACCTGTTTTTACCTCATAGGTTCCTCATGCTAGGCCTAGTCAAACTTACTCCACATAAGTATAATTATGGAATATTAAATATATGTAACACTTCAGCGTGTCGGCAATATTTCACTTAGCATTTGCCAACATCTATTTACAACTACAATAAGTTACATTTAAAGAATAAATTATATTTAATTGTGTAACTTTATCATTCCATGATTAAACACCAACCTTTTAAAGTACTTTTAAAAGGACAGTGATTGTCAGTAGCAATCAAAATAATAAAATATATAACAAATTTATATTTTGGCATATATAAGAACTTGAAAACATACCGTAATATATATAGGCCAATCACATTTTTTTCACTTTGTTTGGGGAAACACTTCATTTTATGCATTATTATCATCATCACTTATAAATATACTAAGACCATACATCTACAAACCATTCAAGCAGCTCCGAAAATGTTTACCTTAGAATTAAGAAGATGCACATATATATTTATTGCATGAACAGGCCACTAGACTTCACTACGGATACTTTTGATTAAAACGTTCAAGTATAAAGACCTGTAAGTGTAATGTACATTAAAAAATATTAAAGAACATGGGTCTTTTTTTAACCATAAAAATAGCTTTTGTATAAAAGTCTGATAAAAATCTTGATGAAAATTCTTATACTATACATTGATTCTATTATAAAATCTTCTTTATGACTAACAGTTTATTTCATTATTTATACACTTTTTTCCATAGGAATGTGCACCCTGGAGCTTAATCATCCAGCTGACATAGGATAGCGACCCCCCGGTTGATCCAGTGTTTCTGTGGACGATCTGAAGGTAGTTCCATCTGTAGAATAAAATTGGTGGAATGACCGGTGGTTGACAAGGTGCCCCTCCGTGCACTGGTCTTGTAGGCTGAAAGAGAGAACAGGTCAAAGGTTAAATAATGCACACTCCTAATCTACTAAAACTCTTTAACTGTGTACATGTATATGAGAATCTACAATATGTATGTTGGAGCTTGTGGGTTGGATTCCCACCTAAATCACTTGCAAGATTTTTTTCGCAAGTACTTGGTGATTCATGTATCTGGAGGTGTTTCAGCCCATGTCTAAATTTAATCTTCATTAACAAAAATCTGAGAGGATTTCTTACCTGGGCAGGAATAAGTAACCAGTTCTACAAACTTTGATCTTTCACCTGGCTTCAGCCACATCTAAGATTAAGCAATTAAGGAGAAACATAGTAAATTGTAATTCTGTTATGTTTACACACAGTCCATACTTTTAATGTGGTGTGTACTTTATGTTGTTCTCAATAATAAAGGATACAATTGGTAGAGTATCGTAGAGTATCTTCGGTAATGATTCACCCAGAATGCGTTTCTCTCGATTCCAACGAGCCCCCTCCAGGAATAGTCCCTTCACATAAACTCCATCAATCTGAAAAAAGAATAAAAAAGAAACTTTACACAATTTCTAAATGATATATTACATAAAAGCAAGAAAAATTATATATTATTACTAGCTAAAATATAAAAATGGATTCTTTAAATTGCTTCCCCATTTACCAAACTCCCTCTCAACCATTTTGAAATTATGGGTCATTCCCCTGTTAGTAATGTCTTACCGGCTTTGAGGGCATCTCTGTTTCCTCGACCATAACCTCAAATTGGAAGCCTAGTTGGTCAATCGGAATCTGGTAACGGCGGGCGAAATTCTGCATCGTGCCAGTTAAAAAGGATTGGGTGAAATAGAATCCCGACATCCAGAACACGGTTGGTATGCCATTTTGTATCCAATCCTGTCAGCAAGAGAAAATATGTTCTTGTTTATTAAATTAATTTTTATCATGGATTTTTTTTGTTTGTTACATTAACTTCAATGATTTGATCTATTGACTGTTTTGCAACTTTGCTTCCTCTTTCTAGAATGGCCATCATCTCAATTCTTACGAATAATTTTAAAGAGCTTTTTAGACCTCATTTTCCTCCCCTGACTAACACTCACCCTGACCTCGGGGACGCATGTGTGTGACCAAAATCATGTGACCCTCCGGCCAACCAGTGCAGACTGGGGTCAGAACAGCATCGCGTCGGCAACGGCGCATCTCACTGGGAACCTCACACACAGTGCAACGAATTAATTGCCAAAGTACGTCCGGGCGCTCAATTCAGCAGCTTTTTCCTGTACTGCTCAAGTTGGTTCATCCTCAATTCTTAATTTCGGGTAAGATTTTAGTATATTACGTGAAAAGTGTGCTTTTTCTCTGCATTGCAAAACGTGTTTAGGCCCTTTTTTGAAGCATGGTCACACACATGGGTACCCACATCTAGATTGAGTGGGCCCCTCTGGTTCGGTCATATATTTATCATTAGAATGCAAATCATTATTGCTTGCCTAATTAATTTTTTTAGTCATATGAATAACTATGTCAGAGATTTACCTTAAACTCTTGAATTCTTGCCATTAGGTCAGTGACATAACTCCCAAGAGGTTTAAGCGAAGGGTATGATTTTGCTGCCCACATGGCTGGTACCTGTGTGATATAAAAAAAACATACAATACGCTAATAATAATTAAGCAAGTGAAACAAGCCAAAGCTACACAACCAATGAGGGATGCTCTTTATAATAAATATAATAATAAAGAACATTACCTTTCCAACCATCATACTATCAAAGACATCTTCAAGTTCCGCTGACATCACAACTAGGCCTTTGATGGCTTTCCTGATGTCCACCAGACTGCTGCGGATCACACTAATTAGCCGGTTGAACCGGATCAGTTCTTGTAGTAGCACTGTGTTCATCGACTCTTCATAACGCACAGGATATTTTGCCTACAAACAAACATAAAATATAATATAAATATAAATATTATCATTAAAGTGAAATAGTTGCCAAACTAACCCGAAACATTAAAAATCTAAGGTTGGGTTTTTTTTTAAAATCTGTTTAATTTATCAACAAGGAGCCCAAATTACTTGTATGTTGTTTCATAATGCTACTTTTGAAGCTAATTAGTAACTTTGATAACTTAACCATGGATTTTACCCCTGTAAAGGGAAGACTTTAGTGAAACTGTGTGGGTAAATCTTACCGTTGTTTGACCTTGGATTAAATGACAGGGTTATTTTTTATCATAAGCCATGGTAAAACTAACCGAGCTGTGAAATCAACTATTAAATCAAACATCATCAACTTCAATAACTCAGGAAATTTAACCAACTTGTGCTGTTCGCACTAGAATATTTGTCTCGGTAAACTAGCTCAGTTAGTTTTCGCTGAGCAAAAAGGAGTTGGTTAAACTAACAGCATGGCTCAAGTAAGTTATATGTATATATATATATATACATATATATATGTATATATATATATATATATATATACATATATATATATATGTATGTAAGTAAATAATATAAATGTATATGTATATGTATGTATGTGTATATGTATGTATGTAATGTATATGTATATGTATGTATGTATATGTAAGTAAATAATATAAATGTATATGTAAGTAAATTATTATGGGTAAACTAACTGAGGTGTCAGTTACTTTTACCGAAGTAAGTCCCATGCAATTGTAGCTTTAAAGTGGTAATTGAATTTTAATTATTAGTAAGGAATTTGATATTGGATGAGATTGGAATAAAAATCTTACCTTAACTTCTTCCAAGTTAAAATTTGATGGAACCTTAGATAGAATATCTGATGCTAGATCATCGATGACCTGCTGCGATGACCTTCCACCACCCGATGCCTAGCAACAAGGGTTCAAATTTTATTTCTTACATGTTGACTAAAATTTTAAAAATTTGTTTAAAACTACTGCAATTTTATAGTAATTTTATTACCTTATTGTATTGAGAAACAGTGAAATACTGACCAGAAAAAATCAGAATTAAAATGTTAATAGAAAAATAAAAACATACAAGATGACATATTAAATACTCAAATTAAATAGATTTTAATTATCCACAATATGTATTATCATCTAAAATGTGAATTTTTAAATATTCCAAATTGATGAACACACGTGCAGAATACACATCAATGTTTCATTTGTGGCTATTATTCAAAATCTAAGATAAAATTTGTGTGTAACAAGGTGTAGTGATATTTTTTTGAAGTAATTAAATACAGACATGAATTAATATAAAATTAAATTGTAAATTAAATATAAATATCACTATGAAGGTGATCTAGTGTATGACTAGGTTATTATTGTATGAATATTTTCTCAATAAAGAAACATCAAAACCTCATAATATTCCACTATGATATTTGTAATTAACAACCCAAATGGTTCATTAAGTATAAACCAATCAGTCAACTCAGTAGTAAAAACATCTCCAGATTGCGATTGTAAAATGACTGCCTAGGATAGACAATTATTAGCATGCATATTTACATTACATTTTTGTGCAAAGAAAGGTATTATTTACATACACTACATTTATACAAATAAGAGAGTGTGATTATGTGGAATTGTGCAAAGTGCAGTACATTTATGAAAGAAGTGAAAAAAATAAAAATGGGGTTAGGTGTTCCAGAACCTCACAGGTTCTGGAACCTGTCCCTCTAATTAAAGACCGCTCCAAGTAAAGACCACTTTCCTCTGGTCCCAAACAAACTAATGTCTTTTATCTTTATTATTCTAATTAAAGACCAAAGCTGCTCCATGAAAACCCTGGAAACCAAAAGTGGTCTTTAATTGAAGGGAGACATGTATATTGTCACACTGGGTTAATATACAGCAGAACCCCTATCAGATACCTTCAGGACCATACAAAAGTGTCTACTTAATAGCGGTGTCCTCTAAATGGGGTTTGTCATAGTGTTAGAAGCTTCCCTTGAATGAGGGGCTCCACTGCATTTTATATACACTATAGAAATCATGCAATATCTCACATGTCAGTGTTAAAAACATAACAATCCATGCCACACCATACATAAAAAATAACAAGCTTAATACCTCTCCAGCCTTTAGTACCGTGCAAAGTGTAATAAAGCAAAATGAAAAAAAAAAACAATGAATGAAATATCAAGGTCAGTGTTTTAAAAATAATAAGCATCTTAGAAATTACAGGAAACTTGACCGATTCATAGTACAGTGTGTTGACTGTCTTTTTTAGTGGACTTATTTTCCAAGCAAACTATAAATTTTATGAAGGATATATACTGCATGAAAAAAAAAACATATTTGCTGACTTAGGCCTAAACTTTGTTTTGCTCGAAATAAAACACCAGCATACCCATAATATATAGAAAAGATGGTTAGGTACAGCAGAATTTACCCTCAACTATATAACTAGTTATAAGCATCTGTCTAAAAAATTGTAATTATCTACAGTTCACCTCCAATTCGAGACCACTTTGGGACCTGAAAATTTGGGGTTCCGTCTTTAATAAGAGGGTTAGCTTTGTGTTCAAAGATAGAACATTGTTTTTTGGTTCTTTGAAAAAGTGGTCTCAAATTAGAGGGGTCCCGGAATTAGCGGGGTCTCAAATTGGAGGGTGCACTATATTTAAAAAAAAAACCCCACATAAAATTTTAAATAAATTGGCTGTTTTTTAGAATTTACCACTGGTGCCAACTCATCCCATGGACGAATCAATATACGAGGTAAAAGTGAATATAGGCCAGAGGTCAATGATGTCAATTTGTTAACAGGCTGTAAAGGTCAAAGTTTAAATAATTCAGGTCAACTGGTTGTGAATGAAAGGACCAGTATCAGTTAAGAAGTATTAAAATATAATATTTTAAATACATATACAATTATTTTTGTATTACTGTAGTTCTATTATACACAGTTTGCATATATATATATATATATAGATGCATAAAGATATCCAATACACTTACAATTCATAATCACATAAAATGTAAGAGATAAAAATGTTATAAATATTGTTAGCAGGAATTCCAACAAAATATAGATATATATATTTTGTTATTGTGTGTGCATACAAAAATCAGAATTGCTTTGTGTATAGAATTGAATTCATATCGGTGTTACCGGCAACTATAAAAATAACAGTGGAATTAAGCCAGACTGGATTAAGACCTTGAATACTAATTATTATATTATGATTTGTAGCCTGATAAACAAAATGCATTGAATTTAAAGTATAAACAGTATAGTCTCTGTGTTGTATATCAGGGGTGGTGCCAGGATTTTCCCGACAGGGGGTCCCAGACGGATTCCCCTGACGAAGGGGCAGATTTCCCTGACGAGAGCATGGTGGGCATTGTCGAGCATCGCTTAAATTGTCGCGAAAGTGGTGGGGGGGGGGAACACCCCGGCACCACCCATGTTGCATATGAAGTCTTACCCAACTCTGCAACTCCGCAGTACATGTCAATTATACTAATGATATCTCTCATTGTGCCTTGAAATTTGGATATTTAGATACTTTCAGCACAATATTAATCATTATTATACTATTGTTATTAATGCTATTTGGTATCAGCTTCAACAATATGTTTCTTCAATGTAATCCAACCTAGCACTTGGATGAATTCTCATGTAAAATATTGAGCTTCAAAAATGTTGAATAAACGTAGAATACCAACATTGCTAATACATTTTTTGGTCATACCTGTCTTGGTAGCGTAAGTAAAATGCCATCAAACAGCTGCTGAGTTTCTTGTTGATCTTTTGTGATGTCAGCATTTTCATGTAAGCCAAAAACCTGCAAGAACACCGTCAAGAAATCTGTTGCATCCTAAACATTAATATATTCACTAATTAAATAGCATTAAAGAAAATATATCTACCAAACTGTAATATTCTAATTCAAAATATATATCACAAAAAATATAGTTCTCCAGTAAATTAAATACTTTTCTAAATATATAAAATCAAGAATTCTTCTCTAAAAGACGAGACACGTGGTCCAACACTTTATGCAATACACAAAGGAGGTTCTCTTTCAACGAACGTCGAATAGGGAATGAGGACGATTGTTAGGGAGACGGTTCGTACGTGGCGGCCTGGGTCGGACTGTTCCATTTTATTTTCAAGGGGTGTTCCGTTTTGGGAACAATGGCAATTAGTCGGTTTATCCAGGTAAGTATTAACGAAATAGACATAACAATTCATTTTTAGCCACCTGAGGAGTAGATTTCTCATTTATACTTAGTAAAACTAAGGGGGCCTGAAAACCACCAACCTCTGGGTGTGGACTAAGTGGGAGACTTCTGATGTAGTCCAAGTAGCTGGAGTAAGGACCATCTGGCGGACAATAATAGTCCCCGCTCTCAGAGAATTTGTATCCTTCCTCAGAAATGATATCCTTATTGTAGAAGTTTGTGAGCAAGCTCATTATTAATCGTCGGTCTTGGTCGTCTGTCACACGGCCACCATAGTTACACTCGCCAGTGAGGTAGACAAGGGCTTCAAGTGGCACCTCATCATAATCATTAAGAAACATCTGTCAAAAAGTGAGAAACTTTGATGTTTACTTGCAAATATGATGAAAACATTTTTAAGCCATTAAAAGCCTGTTCTGTTACCTTATATCTGTACCACTAACTTGTTAATACCCAAGACTAGAGTAAATAACATAAAGAAAAATCTCTGCTTGATGAATAATTATTAAACAATCCAAAAACTCATCCAACCACAATCATTTTTGAAATCCATATACCAACTAAAAACAACAGTTCACCAACCTGCAATTGACGGACACTAATTCGAAGATCGGATTCGTTGAATTCATATGGTGTGTTCCACCCCAATGGACCAAATTTACGCCTCTCTTGGACAACCCCATGTAAGAAGCAGAGGCCACATAACAATTTCTTCCACACCTGAAAAATAAAGGTAGAAATCATTTAGACAATTTCCTCATTTGGTTTGGCAACTAGACTAAAATTTAGTGGGCTGGGTATAATGAAATTATATTAAATATTATTATACTTGCTATTCATACTTGACCTTGATGAGAGAAATAAATCGTTCTTTCACAGATCTGAACTAAGGGCCCTGAGATTGGAAGGCATGCCCTGATTCACCAAGCCCTCACAAAAAAATAATCCTTCATTCACAGGATTGCAGACCCAGAATCGTGGCATTCTAAGCCAAGCATCCTCACAACCAAATTATGTCCACCTCTTCAATTACTGTATTATTCATAGTAATAATATTAACATTACACCAACCTCTTTTTTACTGCACCCATTAAAAAATTCAGGATCAGAGATGGGATCATTGAGATAGGACCTCAAGAGATTAGCCCTTAATCCTTTTGGTGGTTCATTCGTCATCTTGATCCCATTCTGCAGGATCGATACAGGGAACGATGGAGATGGATAACTTGTCAACCATAGACGAAAGGTAGGCTTATTGCGTTCAGGATCAGTTATTACTTCTTCACATATTTTCTCAAGTGTTGGTAACCAAGAGGTTGCTAAGTGACAATTCTGGAGCACCACCCATGTTCCTGAATCTACAGCCTATATGGAGAAATTTGCTTACATTATGAGCATATATAATAAATATTTAAACAGTAAAATCAAGTCAGAAACCCCATATGTAACCTTAAATCAGTGATGGGAACCAACACATTGCTAATTGATAATTCAACAGTGCAGTTACAAGTCAGGAAACTTAAGATTGAAAAATTTTTTAACATACATAACAGGGATAAAATACGGGCCCAAAATACAATACAAAAATAGAACATAACAAAATACTAACAAGAAAATTAGTGATCAATAGCATTAATAATTCAATAAGAACACAAGAGGAAAAATAATGTGAGAATGTGCACTAACCTTGTTGATCATATTAGCAGCAATTGGCCCCTGCCCCTGGCCTAGTGAGATAGTTTGAAGTCCTGTACCACCCATACCTTACCAATCAAATATGCATAGCAATGTTAACAATATTCATGTACAAATGCAACCAAATTTATATGAGCAATAATATGATAATACTTAAATATTATTTATAACAATATAACAATACTGATAATAAATTAAAAATAATATGATTTGTGGAAAATGTTAACCAGAAAATTCTAATTCAACACATTTGTTTATTAAGGTAGAATTTAGTAGAGTTGTTCATAATCAGAGCAGTGCCAACTGGAGAGAGGAGCAGTTGGCTTAAAGTCATCTACCCATTAGACAGGCCAAACACCCCTCTTGGCCAAGACTTGTCAGACCAAAAAGAAAAAGTATTCTAATAAACAATCTGGGCATAATTCATCTAAAATTCCCCCTAGACCCCACTGGATCCTGTCTCTTATACACATCTAGATGTGTATAAGAGACAGGTGGACCAAATCCCTCTTGGCCAAGACTTGTCAGACCAAAAAGAAAAAGTATTCTAATAAACAATCTGGGCATAATTCATCTAAAATTCCCCCTAGACCCCACTGGATCTTTGCTCCTGGACCCTGCTAGTCAGAAATTGTCAGCCCCTTCCTGTCATGTAGCCCATGCCCCCCCCCCCTTGATAAGATAAAATAAGATAAGTATTTTGGTGTGAAGGATAACCCAAGAAGTCTGAAGACTTCAGAGTTTCAGGATACTTCTGGTGGTGAATTGGGCAGTACACCAGGAGACAATCTCCTACTTTTTTACGAAGAGTGTACTGCGTTCTTTAACATGCACATGGGCTATATTGCACACAGGATCAACAGCTTAAACGTCTCATCTGAAGGACGGTGCACTATTGTAACTTGTATTTCCGCCCTCCAGCTGAAACCTAAGGAAAGGCAGCGATTGGAATTGAACCGGGGACCTAAAGATCTCCATGGTTCAGCACACAGTATATCTAAGAGAGCCAACAATGGTCATAATAGCTAAAGATACATCTGTCAAATATGAATCATGAACCCATTATTTCTAACATAACATCTGACGCTAGATATAATTTAGCTTTGAGATATGATGAAAACTCCATGCAATTCTGAAGTGCTATTAGATGCCAATCGTTCGATGTGCACATGTGTGCAAGATGTATTGTGCAGATATTTCACAGCATCACAAACCTAGGTAAAAAAAATGTCATGTACTGGGGCAGCATAAGTTATACTGAAATGTGTGTTTAGGTTATAGACTAACATACCCATATATATATTATAATAATAATCCTTTTTTGTTCCATGAGATACCAAACCAATGTGTCTCAGTTGCCCTGAACATGAGTAAAATTATCTTGAACCATATTGAGAGCAAACTCGCATGAATGATATTAATGGGCAAACAAGCGAAATACTACATACTACTGAGGGACGGATATCGCATCTTATGCTTGGTTCGTTGTTGTCCGTTATTAACAGATGCCTCTGCATTTTTGCCAGCTGTATCAGTTTCTTCTTTGATGGCATCATTTGAATGGTTACCTGCAGACAACTGAATACGATCTTCCGCCTCATTTTGTCTACTATTATGTGAAGATGTTGTTTCATCTTTCATGGTTTTATGTTCAGTTGTGGAATCAGTTTTAATTTTCACATCTGAATCAGTCGTTGACTTCTCATGGTTTTTGACTGGTGGAATCGACTGACCTTTGACCAGCGACACCCTACGCTTCAGCTCAAGTCGACTGCTGGTTCTTTCCAGCTTTGTAATGATCCGTCCAACTGTTTTCTGACGTTGAATTTTCAGTAACCCTGTCAAAGATTCCTCATTATTTCATGCTTACCTTGAAAACCAAATTGCCCGTAAGCAAATGTGCCACAAGCAATATTGAAGATGGCATGAAGATGGAAATACGAATCAAACACCGTGAGAACTCATGCATGACACGAAAGTGAATGAAAATCAACATGCTTTCATGACGCAAAATAAAAACAATTTTTTCGAATATCACCATGTTAACAGCAAAAATAAAATCACCATAGTTGCATATCAAAAGCCAGAGTAATAACCACGATAAATGGAAGTAAAAAAATGGCAGCAGGCTTCAAATGCAAGTAAAACAACTCCATGGTAGCACAAATTACAGCACGTAGATGAAAATGAGAGCAAGTGACCTGGAATTTGCTTGGAGTGTTTAAAATGTTATGCTTGAAAATCAACAAAGCATTTTGAAAGTCAATATGCTGAAATTAATACTATTTGAAAAAGGCAACAAATGCTTCATATATTATCATTTACCCAGTGTACTGTCCTAGCTTTGCAGGTCCCATCATAGCATAATATCATCCCACTTTTGTATGACAATTATGCCAATGGGCATATGTTAGGACCATGATGTGGATATTCAAAACCCATTCTTGGAAAATGAGAGCAAGTGATCAGGATTTTGCTTGGAGTGTTTGACATGTTATGCTTGAAAATCAGCACAACATTTTTAAAGTGAATATGCTGAAATTAATATTATTTGAAAATAGCAACAAAGGCTATTGTTGCTATATTAACAGTACCCCAGTGTACTATATTAGCTTTGCAGGTCCCATCATAACATAACATCCCACTTTTGTATGACAATTATGCCAATGGGCAGATGTTAGGATCAGGATGCAGACATTCAAATCCCAATGTACCCTTCCGCTAAGCGTTTTGCGAAACGACAGCGTAAAGACACATGTCGGTGTTCAGGACATGTGTGTGTTCCTAACTCCATTCTAGTTGGTGAGTTGTTAAGTTTGATTGAAATCCAAAAAATTCTATTGATGACTATCAAAAATTCTATGTATGTATGTAAATGACCATCTTATACTGTGCAATCCATTTGACATTCTGACCATTTCATTCAATGAAGTTTCATTACAGTTAGAATGGGGTGCTTTACAACAATCACAATGTAAACGAAACTTTTAAAAAAAACACACCATGCTCTTTATATTCAAATCTGTTATGCAATGAGATACTTAAAGCAAAATTTGCAAGATAAAAAAGCACAAAATCATTTAACAAACACAGATGATATTTATGGGTGAGTGGAGAAGGGGAGAGAAGCATGTGTGACTGTGGATCGTAATGACATATGGATACGCTTGGACATGATGACACAGGGATAATTATGTAATAGGTAGGAACAGCAAATAAAACTTCTTTGTGCAAGCAACAACAATACAACATTCAACCAATCATATAATCAATAACAAAATCACAGGAATAACTATTTAAATATTTCTATTATATATCTATTCTTTTTCAATTCAGATGAAATATTAAAATAATTGTTAATATTGTTAACAGTATTCACTTATTATGACCTGGATAAAAAACATACATACAGATACACAAGGAAAATATTACCAAGGTAACAGCCAATCTTAGATAAATTCGTTATTAAGTATTTTGCTAATTCAAATTTAGTCATCTACGACTTATAATATAACTGGCAGACAATCCATTATTAAATGATGAAACTTCCAAAAAGATAATGCAATGAATTTAATATGTGTGAATTTAATTTTTTTTTTCATCTTTAATTTGATAAATATATTACTCTAAGAAAAGTGATACCAAATATGCTTACCCTTCTCAGCAGCAAATTTCATTAGTACAGCCAGGGGGTCAGCCCCTGGGGACAGAATGAATATTAATGGGGTCGCATAGGTTGAATCAGCATAGCTCTTAGCCAGGTCAAAGGTTGGTGGTTCAATGTACGCCTGTCCCATTCGTGAGACAATGAAGTTTTGTACAGCAGGTACAATCTATAATGGATAAATATCATATTAAATATTGAATAAACATGATTGGCTGTAATTCCCAGAATGTGAAAATGGGAAGGCAAGGAATCAAAGAAATATGTTGTGATGGTGATAGTTTGTGTGATGACAATGAGAACGATGATGATAATAAAGATTATAATGATGTGCGTGTCAATATTTTATCAATTGAATGATTAATTGACTTTGGTTTATACACAAATTTAAATTTAACTGATGATGAAGGATGATACAATAATGACGGTGATAATAATGACAAAGATGCTGATGATGACCAGGATAAGAATGATGATGATGAAGATGATGATGATCCATCAATTACCAACCAATCAGCGTAGCTACAATGATGATGAAGATGATTTTGATACTCTATATCGATCATAATCAGCTACTGTATATTTAAATTCTTACCTTATCTGGACGGATAATCCTCAAGATGATGAGTTTCTGAATGCTGTTTAGCTTCTCATTCCATGGTTGCGGAATCTCACACGTGTGCGGACTTGTTGAGTCGTATAGTTTTTTCCATTCGGAAAGCTATGTACCATATTAATGAGAAAAATATTGATGGTAACATTAATTATTGTAAATGGAAAAGAATCACCTATTTCATCTCAGTTTAAGATCAATGTAAATTGAGTAAATTAACATGTTAGGTTTATAGTATATCAATTTGTAAATGGCAGAAAATAGGATTTGGTGAACAAATAAAATAAATATGCCAAATTATATAATAAATAAAAAAATTAATTAACATAATATAAACCAAAAAAAAACAACAAATGAAAAAGAAATCCCTTAAAAAAAAGTAACTAAACTTACATTTGCCCTGACATGCATCATAAGATCATCAAATGCTGTGAGTGGTGAAACACGAACAATCTCTGACCAAGACTTATCTGACAACCAAGATGGTGCTGGATTGGGGAAGGGGTTCTCCAAAGCCACACCCCCAGTCAATAGAAATCGCCACTCATGATCATCAATTTCACCTCTATCAAGCAAAATTTTATCAATAAAATTATATCTATACTTGAGAAAACAAATAAAACTAAAAATAAAATTTAGGAAACTATTTTTTTACTTTTTACAATTATTTATAATGAGGCACTGTGTAAATCTAATCCTTAAGGCGGTGCATGTTCGTGTATATTAAATAATTCGTGAGAATACATCATGATAGTGAACTTGTATATATAATTACTAATAAAACCAATCTAACATTTATATAGCGCATATTGTAATAAACTGCCTCTATGCACTTTACATTATTACAGCAGTCACTGGATCAAACACATACAAGGCACATTCAACTGCTTACTGGCGATCACAATCAGATAAGCAGCTAAAATCAACGCTTGGTATTAGGTCCTACCAGTACCCACTGGACCACTTCAGCTCCACCATGACAGAAAGACCAAGGGTTAGGATCCAACTACCTTTGTGTGTTCATTCTTCAAGGCACTTGTCCACACTCCCTCTTCATGCAAATGATTAAGTGGGTACCTGGAAGGTATGAATGTTGATGCACTGATTACTAGCTGCATTTAACCTCTAAATCTTACCTCCCTTTTGCAATGCTGATGCAAAGTATAAACGAGAAGAGAAGTTTGTCTTTCTCAAACAACGACCGGCAGACATTCTGGTAGATACTGTACGTGAAGTGATTGTTGAGGTTGCTAATACGCACTTCAAGCTCGTTTGATGGCGGTGTATCAGAAATAGACTAAAATAACACCAAAAGAATATGTTAAATCTAAAACTATCAAAGGTATTCAGTTTTTTCAAGATGTGTGGTAAAATATGGAAAAAAATCTAATAAATCCAATTATTAAAATTTAATTATTTAAAAAGATCTACAAAGTTATCAACAACTTAGCATATTTATCATTGTCTTTAAAAGCAATATGAAAAAATAATCATATTAACAGTGAAAAGCTAGTTGAACATTATACAAATAATAAATGCTCATGAGGGGAATGGTGAAAGCTATTGCCCCTCAGCGATGTGGAGATCGTAGCCTATCTTCCCGAGGGCCTCTGTCCTAGGCAAGATAGGCTACGGCCTCCACATCACTGAGGGGCAATAGATTTCACCGTTCCCCGAATCTAGAGCAGTCAATAATATTTGCTTTATATACCACATACATAGATTCTATGAGGCCTAAAAAAGCACTTAATTCCTAGTCTAAGCCTAGGCGATCAAAGAGTGTGTCTAGCTCTTCTTTGCTCACTTCCTCATTTTCAATATTTTCGTCATCTTCCAATATTTGTCGAATATTGACAAAGACTCAATTTATTTGGTTTTTTTTATGCTTTTGCTATGGGCTTCATCAAGCAGTAATGCTAGGCCTAGGCTAGTCCTTCATCCAGGAGCTTGAACCAACTAGCCCCAGCCTCCATATTTGTTTACCATTGCATGGCCAAGTTCCAATCTCATTTGTCGTAGAGGTCACAGTACTCTTTACGTCAGCACGATGTTAAATGGGCCTAGAGTTTGTACATGCGACAGGGCAAAAAGTACTATTTTTCAGGGGAATATTACTTTTTGAGGGGATTAGTACTTTCTACTGCGAGGTTCTTAACCAATCAAATGCCTAAAATCTATGTATGAGTTATATAATTCAACAACAGTAGAACAGAGTATTTAATTTGATAAATATGTTAGATAAAATTAATATAACAATAACATTATTAATAATTAATCATAATATCATTGGCAAAATAAATATTAGTAGCAATTTTAGTAACAATAACAGCAATTAGCAAAAAGTAATTAGAAGCAATTGCAATAGTAGCAGTAGCTATAGCAGCAATAACAATAGTAGAGTAGCAATTAGCAATAATAGCAATAGCAGCCACAGCTAATAGCGGTAACGATATGATAGTAATAACAATAGCAACAGTAATAGCAAGTACACCAAAATATAGCAATAGCAATATCAGCCATACTAATAAAAATACAGGTACACTAGCTATTAGCAATAGTAGCAATAGCAATAGTATTAACAGCAATAGCAGCCACAGCTATAGCAGCAATGACATGATAGTAATAACAATAGCAATAGTAATAGCAAGTACACCAAAATAACAATAGCAATATCAGCTATACTAATAGAAATACAGGTACACTAGCTAGTTAGTAGCAATTAGCAATAGTAGCAGTCACAGCGACAGTAGCAAAAATAGCAGTAATAGTACTAGCAATATTAGTAGCAATACCAGCAATGATTATAAATAAAGTAACACTACTCATAGCGCAAACAATAATAATGCAAATAATAATAATAATGCAAGTAATAATATCTTAGATTTATGAAAAAATAATGTTTAATATGTTTGTGCTGTTAATTAAAACAGTGCATATTAATTCATAACTGATGTTAACATTCACAATTTGCTTGCCCAAAATATGTGACTGCTCACACTGTGCGTGCAATTGCCCTCATACAGTGTCCTTGCCCAAAGTGTACATGCTTGCCCAAGATGCGTGCCTGTCCACATTATTGTGTTTGCCCATTTATCAAATGCTTGTCCACACTTTGAGATTGCCCAAAAAATGTGCTTTGTGATAGCCCACACTTTCTGCTTGCCCAAACTTTATGATTGTCCACACTATGTGCATTCCCACACCAAAATGCTTGCCAACTGGCCTGGACTTACGGGAATACCTGCAGCTTCTGAGGGACTTAAGTCCCTTGTATCTGAGATGGACTAAAGAGTAAGACAAACTTTATGTTGGTAGGTGACCAATAGGAAACATGCATTGGTCTATACTACAAAAAACTACAGTAGTGATATATGCATACAGTTACGATAATAATATAGTAGAGTGCTAACTAAAGCAAAGTGAAGATGCCATGAGTTAAATATCTCTCAGAATTATATAGTTTTAATTCTTTACTCTTCTTTGCATCATGTAAAAAATGATGCACTACTCTCTCACAACCAGCTCAGATGTTAACCCCCCACTTCATTAAATGCTCAGTACAACAGCAGCATGCCCCTTGATTGGCTGTGGAATCCACACAATAAACTTTTTCTTTCGCACTTGAAATTGAAATCGTTGATTCGTCTGCATCCAAAAATTTAGATTTAACAACTTACTTGTGAATATAAGTTAATAAACCAGGTGAGAGAATACTGATACATCGGCTCAATGTTGGCCAGGTCAGATATGGTGAAAAACAAGATGGACGAATGCTTAGCAACCTATAAACAAAAACACCATAAGACATTATAAGATACAAGAATAACTTTGTGAAGGTTTATTGACTTAGGCAAGAGAAGTGCTTACTTCTCCTGGGCAATCATGTAACATAGATCATAAAGTCTGAATAAATAGGAAGCAATAACCTACTGGTTTATAACCATTCCTAGTCTCATCAATCTCTTTCTCTGTGATCGATGCTGCCTCCTGCTTCTCTCCAATCTCCTTCGCCAGTACCTTACTGGAGGACAAGATCTCAATGGCAGTCTCATCTTCCAGGATGTTCCCTTGTGAGGAAGACAGCACCTCCAGTATCTTGTCCTCAATCTCCTTCAGCTGTCTCCGGTTCTTTGCACTCTCCAGGATCAACTGGTTCTTTTTCTCTTCCAGCTCTGGCTTCTCTTTTGCAGCTACTAGTCCCAGGAGTTGATCCTCAAGTCCAAGAGGAGTGATCATAAAGTTCAAGAGGGTGACCTATAGACAATAATTAATAATCAATTTGAAAAAAAATATCCAGTAAAATTCAATCAAACTAATTTTTATGATATTCATAGGTTATATTATTTGTTATTATTACTAGAATCAAATTATTTTTTATATTTCTGATGATCATTTTACCTTCACAGAAACCTCCGGGAGGTAGTGCGGGTTGCGTAATCGTGTGGTGATGTAAAACTTAAAATCATGGCTAAACTCAATCACATTGTCACCCAGACGGATGTAGTCCAATCCATTCTAAAAAGACAGTAATACAAGCTGTTGTTCTTGATTGGGTGATAGTGAAACATTGTCAAGTTGTATGTAACCAATACAAGTGATTTTCACATATATGGTTATGCTATATCATCATGTCTATATATGTGCAAATCACAAATACCTGTCACAGAAAATTTGATAGTGACACAAAGCATTAGAATATATCAATGTCATTAAGCACTTCATAAGACTTGTACATTATTATTACTATATATTCATGCTACACTACTAGGAAATATTGCATAAATACATAAAATGTAATTCAACAGATTTACGTAAAGAATAAGCCATTTTGTAGTTTCAATGGTGCATGACTATGTCAAAGGTCAATGTATTGACAAATCATACAGCATGTACCATCTGCATCTCACTGAGTTTTATTAGAAAGGTTGGTTGCAATATTTACCTGATAATGTATATACCAAGGGTGGGCATAAAAATCGTTCGGAGGGCTAAAGTTAACTTTTGATTTAACACCCAGGGCTGCAACCAAACTTTGATGTTTCCATTGTGCTTCCAAAAACCTTCAAGAACTGCTTATTTACACCAATGTATTCTCAGTTTAAACGTTGGTCTCTACATATGATTGGTGTTGGGACGTAAAAAACAAGGTGTTTTTTAGCCAATGTTACTTGATGGGCTGCACAAATATTTTTTTTTAATTCATTTTCGCGGGCCGCAAAAAAATTGTTGGCAGGCCGTGTGAGGCCCGCAGGCTGCCCACCTGTAGTATATACTGTACTGAAAATATTAACTGTGAAGTAAATAATCTCAAAGATTCAGACATCATTAAAAGCCATTTGATTGGTTGATAAATGCTTTAACCTTTGACATAGTCAATTATGAGAGGGCTTAATGAATATTATGTAGCATGTACCAACAATGAAATTGACTAAATATTTACCATGCAAAGTGTTGTTGGAACAATTAAATATATAGGGAACATACACAAGCTGCTTAACTGTCAAACATCTTAATTACTAAGTGGTTTAAACCTCATGCATCTCCACTACCAAGCAGCTTATTCCCAAGACCACCAAGCAACATAACCCTCAAGCATATTTACTACCAAATGGTTCAACCCTCTAGTATACCTGCCAACTTTTTTTGCTGTCTGATGTGCAAGAAAAAAAATATAGCGCCCTCTATATAAAAATCATAAAATAGAGCACCCTCTATGTTATTTTTTTTTTTTATTGTAGTGGTGGAACTGCTACTGTCGTCGGTCTGTATAGTTTCATTAAAAAAAGTTTATATGGCCTGTGTTTACATTTTAATGACCAATTCACTTTATTTATTTTTTTTTATTATTTTAGGGTATAATCAGCCTACACATTTCATCTTTTATGAAATTTTTATGATGTAAAAGATAAACAACGTAGGCATGAGACATAAACAATGGATGCTCAAGTGTGAGAGTTAGCAGGTGTTCTCTAGAATCTTAACCACTGAAGACCCTTAAGTATCATAACTACCAAGTATATCCCTGAGTATCCTAACCACTTTAACCACCAAGTTACTTAGCCCTCAAGCATCTATGTGTAGACAGCCAAGCTCAGCTCCAGTATATACTGATTTCATTTATGTTCTATTGAATCTCCACAAATAATTGGAAGCACTAAGCATGCAGAGGAATACTATAAGAAAACAGAATGTATGTCTATTTCTTAAACAACTTACATCCATCGGAAAATCAGGCTAAAGCAAAAGAAAATAATGTAACCAATTTTAGCAAATCATAGAAGCAAAAATGATAAATCAAATTTCAAACTAAAGTGTAAACTTCACTGAATTAAAATGTCAATGGTCTTTTCCTGCGTTTATGGACAAGAGAGGCAGGGCATTTTTAGGTTTTACTAGTAAGACTGGTTACTTGTATATCAGATCTCTCTCATACAACTGAAGTTACAGTATATGTTGGATTGCAGCCAATGAGTGAAATGGAAAACTCTGGATGTTTGCACTTTCTATAGGAACAAGAGGACGAATGCAAGTTCGCAAAATGTGAGTGCATGTGAAAAACTGTGATGTTGAGGTAGTTTTCATTTTTAAGATTTATATACAAACCACTTACTAATTTCAAAACAAAGCTTTTACAAATATGCTCTATAATCTAGAAGTTTTATTATAAGGCTTAGGAGGTGAAATATTTTTTTGTGAAAAAAGATTCTGACATTTCACAACATTTAAACCAAGAAAGGAAAGGAAGTAAACTACCCCAAGCAGTACTAACAATTTGCCACTAAATAAGTTAAAATTAATCTTAATGATAGGAGTTTTAAAAGTATAATTTACTTGAGTAAATTGAAACATAATCAATAATGTTTCTAAAAGTAATTTGCAAAGATAAAAAAACATGATTCCATAGACCTGTTTACCTGTTTAAATGTTTGTTTCAAAAGAAGTGGTTCTAGAACAGGGTCAAGCTCTTGACCTATGTTCTCAAGCAAGCAAGGCTGTCCGAATTGGATGCAGTTCTCCAAGGTCCTGGTGTACGTGGGATCTGAGAGCTTTATCACCTGTAACTTGTTGGGCTTCTCCATGTTCTTTACCCACTTGTTGGCCTGGCCTTGAGGGTCGATCATCAGAGGCCAACGATTTGCATTGGTGACAATCAACGCATTATCCACAGAAAAGCTGCATTGAAAAAATGAGGTGTGATTTGTACATCCATAGTGAGATTAATATTCTATTACCTTATGTAATATATGAACAAATTGGAATGGTAAATATTCACAAAATAAAATAAAAAGTTTTTTATTTAAATACAGCGGTCTTCATATGTAGGGCTCAGTGAGGACAATGCACATAATTAGAAGAGAAGGGTAATGCTGATGATGAATGGCCGATCGGTTAACGTAGGGGCTCGCAACCTACAGCCATAATATCGGTGCTGGTTCGAATAGCACATTCACCAATGGCTCTGGAGGTGGAGCAAGTCTTCTCTGATATGGACTATAAACTGTAGGCCCAGTGCATAAAATTGGCTGATGTGCACTATAAAAGAACCCAGTACATCTTTCGAGACAAGTAGGGGGTTACCCCGGTGTACTGGTCCATCTCACAGGCCCTGTCGTCATCCAGTACGAAAATACACCGAAAAGGTGGTCTGTACTAGAATAGAAGAAGAAAGAGGGTGACGTAAATGATGATGATGATGATGAAGGAAGTGTGACGTAAATGATGATGATTATCAAGGTGATTGTGGAGAGGAATATCCAAAAAAAATACTTACTTATCCACTGGCAATCCAGCTAGTTGCCAGTCTCGGATTTTCACTGGATCTCCTAAAGTTGCCGACAGAGAAAACACAGCAGACACAGGAATCGACTTGTCTTTACACATCTCATACCACTCCTTTAAACACTCCTGCAAAGATGAATCAACACACACATTTCTCAGGAGATGAAGTCAATAAATCAGCAAGAACATAACACACAAAATTATTATTTCATGCATATCTATGGACACAGGCTGAGGGAGAAACGTGCGCAACCCATGGTGGAAAATTAGTTCCACTAAGTGGGTTAAAATACAAAAAATGACATTAGGTTTTCATTGGAATAGAGATTTAGTTCTACATCCTCAATTTTCTAACCTCGACCACCCCCCCACCCCCACAACACACACCCTCAGGCCAAAACCAGGCCCTATTCCCCTGATATCTATCATCTTGGTCAACCTACCTGTCTAAAGGACAACGTGAAAGGTCCAAGGTATGCTACAACTCCTGATGATAACAAAACGTCACCTACAATGTTCACATAGGTAGCACTAAGCTGCTCTGTAAGCTAATGTGAAAAGAGAAAACAGCAGCGGCAATAAAAACAACAATAACAACAATAATTATATCAATGAAAATACTAGCAAAAAATAATAACAACAATAATAATTATAACAATAGCAATTAGATATATTTATACGGCACCAATTTAAATGTTCTTAAAAGATAAAGCTTACAAATATTGGGATAAGACTACATGTTGTTAAATTGATAAACTGTATTTTAAACTAATACAATTTTCCATGCTCCTATATGTCATTATATCACTATTTCTTCATTTAAAGTCATATTTATACATGAATCAAGTCAAATGTACCTGTTGCCACCGTTCTTTTTCTCCGCCAAGCCCAGATATTAACTTCTTCGCTCGTACGATCTTCAGTCTTGTATTTTCAATCTGGTCTTCTAAGTTCTACAGATAACAGTGAAAAAAACATGAAAGCAAAATGTGGACAGCATAATCCCTAAACAAATATATGTTGACTGAATAAATCAAAAATCTTTGAGGTACAACATATTACATAAAAGTACCTTCTTTTCAGAGAACTTTGTATCCAGATGATCATTAAGACCTTGAAGTTTGTCTGTGATCTCTTTCAATGCTGCCCTCTTTTCATTCAACTTTGACATCTGCTCATCCAGCGTTGATTCTGCATTTTGCAGGCTAGCCCTCTTTGGTGCTACCACTTTAGCCACACGGTCATACACTTCCAGGGCTCGAACCCAGCTGCACAGCCCTTCACAGGCTGACGAGATCTTCTTGACGATGCTAGGCTCAAAGTCAGGGTTGTCAATGAACTTTTCTCTGATTTTTTTCATCACCCACACCGGGATATTATCTTTATCATATTCTTTCAGTGACTCTAGGAATTTCATATCACCAAGCATCTACAAAATTGTAAAAGTCAGAGGTAATATTGGTAGTCAATGAATGAGATAATATTCTTAGTCTTACACTTAAAAATAAGATAATATAATAAGATATCAGTAATTAACCATCAATCAATCACCAATCAGAATGTTGATGCATATATTTGATTGATACAGTAATTAAGGAGAAGCCTATATTATTCCTGCTAATCCTAATAAAAATGGAAACATCCTGTGGTCTCCATAATTCACATGAGTTTAGTTTGTGGAAAGGTTACGGGTATTCAATGATCAGGGTTAATAGTATACAATAAGTGTCTATTGTTGGCAAATATACTACAAGGCTCAACAATATTATCAATAGCAGTTTATCACTCACTCTTTTAGCAGGAGGCCAATAGTCATCCACCATTTTGCCTTGATCATTAGCTTTCTTCTCTGGTTTGATTCCCTTCATGATGCAGATAGCTTCCATCACAAGTTTGACACCTGTTGGTGGGTTCGTCATTGACTTCACAACCGTGATGTCTGCTTGTTTCAAGGTGTCAAGAGCTCGGATGGCAGCATTTAACGCTGGCATTGCAACAGCCAGTTTCTGTTCACATTCGTCCTTGATGGCTTTTGCTGCCATTGCTGCCTTGTTGGCAACCTCTTCATCGACAGAAATCACCTGACGTTTGGCATCAACTTCCTCTGTCTCTGCCTGAATGATCTCGATTAGTTTTTCTGTTTCACCACTGGTTTCAATCAGCTTCGGCTGAAGTGCTGTTAATTCAACCTGCATAACGGCAATCTATAGAAGATCAAAAAACACTTACTTGATCATCTCCAGAAATGTTCTGTTAACAAAGCGATTAATATATTTTGCTGCTGTCTTTTTTCAAAATCCAGAAAGATTTCTTACCTGATTGGCTGCAAACTCCAGCTTCTCCAGTCCGACAATATAACGATTCTTCAGAGTTAAAATCTCTAGCCGCTTCCTACTCATCAAATTCTTAAATGTCTTGATTAATTCCAGATATGAGGTTGGTGTCACATAGTTCCTTCTCCGAAGAGCAGAGTAGAATCTATAATCAAAACCATATGTTATAAAATTGACACAATATCTGGTGATACACACACATATATTATAGACACCTTAATGAATGAGAAAACACCGACTATAAGATGGAATGAAGAACTACCTCTAATGACTTAAATATTTAAAAGGTTTCTCTTTATAACACATCCTCAAGACAAAAAACCCTTTTTTCATGATATTGTAGGTATTCAGAGAAACTTACGTGTCAGACATCGCTCTAACACTCTCATGGAAGTGTTTACACATGACTACAGTTTCAGCCTGGACTTCATCAGACATCTCCACATCATCGAGGAACTTGTGAGCAACCATTTCTAATGCATCCTCTGGCCAGGCCTAAAAAAGAAACATGTATAAATTACAGTAGTATTAGAGAGTTAGGAATTACAAAGGAATAATAAAAAACAAACAACTTTTCCATTTTTACAACAAATTTGTTTGATGATTGTTTTACAGTCTTTTTACCTTGAACCAGTCGATGGTGCAGCAGTTGATGAGTGAAGGAAACATACGAAGTCTGTTACGGAAAGCATCTCCAATTGGACTAAATGCAAGGACCACATGCAGATTCCGACGAACACGCTCTACAAATTTGTTATACATGTTCAGGGGCGTAGTCTCTATCTTAGGATTCTCTGACACTGCGATTTGTTGCATCTGAAGAAAAAAATTAATATTTTGATGCAATAACCGATGATGTGATAATGTTCATTACTCTGCATTCCTAATTCTAAGCCTGTGGAAAATATAAATATCCTGATTTTCCACCTTACAAGTGGCCATGTACCTAACCTCATGTAGATAACAATTTGGGTTTTCTGTATGCATTTAAATAATTTAATAATTACAGAATATTTTTCCATTTACCAAGACACATTGCTAACCTTGTGCTATTTGCATATGAATCTTTCTTTCTTTATCTTACCTTTTCAATTATCTCCAGCCTCTCTTCATTCTCATAAAGGTTAGGAATATCTCCAGTGTTCAGGATCATGTTAATATCTTCCAAAAATGATTCATCCTAGTGAGGAAGGAAAAACATTTAATCAATCAATCAATACTTTATTATCCTTTGTACAGAGCACAGTTACAATGTTATATTAATAATTCTACAAAGAACAGTAAAAACAAAGCTGAAGTAACTTATTTTCGTTATATGTCTTGTGATTGCATTGTTTAATAACATTTTCATCAATGTCATCAGTACTGCTCTGCTGCCCTCACGGTACTTAGTATCATAACATAATAATATCACACCCACCTTGATCTGGTGATCTCCAAATAAGAAGACTGTTGGTAGACCTTCGTCACCTGCTTTCCGCAATACTTTCCGAAGATCTTCTTTCCAGTCGGAGGTAGTGTAGTTCTTTGTTATCTCTATGGTGACGAGCTCATACATGGCCATGAAAGCAGCTAAACGGGCCGCACTTTGACGCCCGCTGCCTCCAATCCCTGCGATTAAAAATAAATTGATGTTACTGTGTTTGTTAATGGATACATATACCGTATGAGGCTTGCCATCCCAAAACCAGCGTACTGTCGCTAATTGTTAAACTGAGTAATTAGCATAAAAATGTGGCTAATTAGCATAAAATGTGGCAGTATTGTATACTTTAATTACAGAGAATAATACTTTTACTCATAACTTTGGCAACAGTAAGTCAATTTCTGTAAATAACTTATCATTTTTAAGCTTATAATGTAGAGAATATGAATATTAAAATGTAAATTTTCTTGTTGTGGTCTCTGAAGCTGGTTTTGGCATGGCATGCCCAATAAATCATTTTCAGGGCACTTTGATCACATGGTAATTTTTAAAAATAATTAATATGCAAATGATAGAAAGAGGCATACCGACAAGTAGGGCGTGGCCATTAGGTTGCTTCAGTACGCGGCTTATCCTTGAAATATGCTCAATAGCAAATCGGAACATGACCAAGTCCATAGGAGCCTTACTCATCAAGTTGTACTCATCCAGGCATTTCTCAATGGTCTGTGGGCACAAAAGGGCAACACAATTAATATTTATATTTCATATTCATCATGATGGTAATGAACTACAAAATGCTAACCATATATGCAGAAGATAAATATTCAATCAATACATCAATCTCAAAACTTTCTCCCATAAAATTCATTTTTAAAATATTTAATTGTACTTTTTGTTAACTGATAAAGATCTTTGAAAACAGAATAAAATCATTTACCTCTTTGAGTGCAATGAAATCAGTTATTTCATTGTAGACTTTATCATCATCATTTGTCTTTACATAGTCACCAAAGAAAAGGCTGGAATAAAATGTTTAATTGTGAAAATTAGGTATTCAAATTATTTTGTAAGGCTTCATACACTTCTTATTCACATGCACATTAGCAAAAACTGAAGTATGTATAAATTTAAATTAAAAATACTATAACATTATTTTTTATTTGGAAAACATTGGATTGATTTTTGCAAGTTTATATCATTTGTTTAAAATATGATTTTAATGAACAATTATAATAAAACATATCTAAAACTGATAACAAGTTAATACAAAAATAACAATAATGAAAGATTATTATGTAAGTAAACCATGTTAATGTCATTCATAACCCAATCTAATGATATATCCAAGCTTATATGTTGTCCTTATTAACTGTTTATGAATGTAATTTTTCTTTTTTGTTTTTGCAAAACAATGAGAACTAAAAATATATATGACTTTTCCCAATATGTTCGATTTCCTACAATGCTAAGAGTTTATACATTATTAATTCCGAAAAATAAAATATGTATAATATTAAGTTGATAAAACATATCAAATCAAAAACAAATGTTTGCAATACATCCTGGTCTCTTAAGTAAGTTCACCCTTTTAATAAAGCAATGAATAAAAAATATGATAATGAATTAGTGTTAATTAACATGATACATAAAAAAATCTAAATAAAAACAATGATTTGGCAGAAAATACTCATGCAACTACCGATAACATACTTATTGTTATTCCTCATCTACTATATCTTTTACCAACAAATGAAAGTGCAAAGGTTAATCGTAATTTGCATGTAAAAGCAAGGTTCTGACTAAGATTTAAAAACATGGGGAACGGCTACCATAATGAAATTTACAATATTTTGATACTAAAATTAGCAAGTTACTGTAAGTATGTCAGGACAGGGAATTATATACCTCCACCGCTAATGACAGGTTTACCCATGCTTTCTGCAAACAATGTCAACCGAAGGTATTCAAAGACAACCAGATGCTTCCATTAATTCCCATATTATACCAATGATATATAAAACATGGATCTGCTATGTACCTTCTCAGATGATGATCGTCAATCTCCATTGTATCACTTGAGGTATTTACAATGAAACATAATTGGTTAAATGTAGGCATTCATGAAAATCAGTAGAGTATGTACAACAAAACAATCAAATGAATCATATGAGGCATGTTGTGGCGAAATGGTAAAGTTGTCGCACAGTCCAGTATTGAGTAAATGAGCTAAAAAATATGGGAGCTCAAAAAATTGCTAAAAAATCCAAATTTGTTTTTTATTATAGGTCAACAGTTTAATGTCTTATTAATCATGTCTCAAAGCATTAGGTCTGGAAGTGGTTAACAAATTGTTTATTTAACGTTATTTTTCATAGTTCATTATATTAAACCTTTGAAAAGCAATTACTCAAAATCCTGTTTATCTTGACTCTAAGAGTACTGTACATTCACTTTCCAATAACTTTGGTTTGAAATGTCCAATTTGAATGAATGACCCCTCATTTTAAAGATCACATACTCAGGTATT